GGAAGAGTGCTGCCAGCAGGTGGAGAGAGATTATCTAGTCAGCCTTGGTGAGGCTGCATCTGAAGCACTGGGTGCAGTTCTGGGCTCCCCAGTACGAAAGACATAGAACTACGGGAGAGAGTCATACAGGGGGCTGATTAGGAGACTGGAGCATCTCTCATAAGAGGAAAGGCTAAGACACCTGAGCCTGCTCAGGCTGGAGAATGAGAAGATGAAGGGAGAATCTTATCAATGTGAATAAGTATCGGAAGGGAGGGTGTCAAGAGGAATAGGCCAGACTCGTTTTGGTGGCATACAGTGATAGAAAGAGAGGCAATGGCCACAAACTGAAACACAGTTCTATATGAATATGTGGAAAAACTTCTTTCCTATGAGGATGACTGAGCACTGGAACGGGTTGCCCAGAGAGGTTGCGGAGTCTTCTTCCTTGGGAACATAATCCTGGATCACATGCTTGAGCTGACTCTGCTTGAGCCAGAGCAGTTGGACTAGATGATCTGCTGAGGTCCCTTCCAATCTTAACCATTCTATGTCCTTCTGTGATGTAGCTTTCTTCTGGAGCTAGCTGCTAATAAGCCTTCCTATTCAGCGTGCCACTGGAACCAAGGACTTTTTCCAATTGTGGTGTAGCTGGATAATGCTTTGCTCATTATAGCTTTCTACAGTCAGTTAATGAGTTGAATTTCTCTATGGTCACTACATTCTCTTGGTTAGATTTATGAATTTTTGTCAGAATTTAAGGAAACAAAGGATGTCTGTTAGGCTTCACAAGAATGAAATGAGAGGGATTGACTGTTCTGACTACCCCACTTTTTCATTATGTAAAAATGATTGCAAAATGATTGCACTTGGCCATAAGCTTTTAAATGTTGAAGTGCTTATTCACTTGATAAAAAACCCTTAGGTGAGCTTTTAAAATCATTTTATTTTTCTCCTATTACAGGAAATTTTGGCTTGATGGCAGTGATTTTTAAGTGAATATTTACAGAAGGAAAAAAAGGAATACTTAAGATTTACAAAACTTCCCTCTTAACTTCTTAGCAGTTGTTTGGGATTGATTTAAAAACTAATGACAAGATGTTTTATTGATTTACCTTGGATGCTGGTGTCCATAACAAATCATTCATTTAATATGCAAATTTCTAGGATTTTTTTTTGACATCACCTTGATACACTTTCATACTTGCACACTACCTGTCCTTTGCATCACTGTTGTTATAGACACCACACCATCAGCAAATGGATGACCCATAGATACTACACCCACACACTGAGAGACCTACTACCAATTTGCTGTTTTGCACACTGCTTCAAAATGATCAGGTGTTTATTAATCCCCTCTGTGATAATCATAAGAATATTCCCCCCCAACATCCCTATAGCACTGAGGGTTCTGAGGATTCCGGGGGTTCTGGCCCTCAGTTCAGTGAATGCAGTACTTAAAAGATTTTAAATGTTTAATACTCAAAATAGGGAAAGCCATAGTTTGCTTTTAAAATGCATTCTTAGCATGCTGTGTCAAGAGCAGCAGCAAGCACTCCTGAATTGTATGACTTTTGCATTACAACATTCTACTGTTAGTTTTGTTTGTTGTTTCTTATGCAACAGCTCTAACTAATCAAATTCCTTACAGATTTGTGTTCTCTTTCTGCCCATCTGAACTCAAAATAGAAATAGACTCAAATCTTTCAAAGCAAAACGTTTTTTTCCCTCCTTCAAGAAAGTCATGAAACAGATGGCACAAATAGTTGGTTTGGAGGTGCATCAAAAAAAAAAACCCACCTCACATTATCTGTCTCCTTAGCAGCATAGCACTTAATTTACTTCTTCTCCACTTCCCCTCCCTTTCTCCTTCATAACCTCACCCTCTTTAGAGATGTCCTATTATCTGAAGAAAAAATGCTATATATTCCGGTTCTCCAAGCAAATTACAAAATCCGTTAACATATTTGTAATGCATAAATGACACTTGGGAAGGCAATTGGATAATTCGTAGCATCATTCTGGATTCTCAGCAGAGAGTGACTTTGTATCCAGCTCCATTCTCAGATTGATAGAAAAGGCATTTGTGTGTTTTAGTAGAGGCTGAGCAGCAGTCAGACTCAAGAAGCTGGGTAGTGAGAGCATATATGTACATCTGTCACATATACATCATGTAAAAAAAAAAAAACACAACTCCCAAACCAACCAGTTCTCTCACTCATTTGCTGACCTTTTTCTGGAGCAGGATTAAAAAAAAAAAAAAAGAAAGAAGTTTTACTTTGAAATGTTTGAGCCTACTTTGAGTTTGTGGACTGCTGGATTATATTTTCAGGAAATCATAGTCATATAAGCATATTAGGAACAGAGCAAGCACCCTCTGCAGGGTGTGTTCCACCCAGGAGGAATGATGGAAGGAAGGGGAAGGTTCTGCTTCCATAGCTTCATTTCTACCTCCTTGATCCTGGTAGGTGCAAGCCTTTGTTTTTGCAGGTTGGCTGGGCAAACAGAGTAGATATGCTCTGCATGGTCACATGACTGCATAACCCTCTTTTCTCAGAAAATCAGGTTTAAAAAAAATCTATTTGGCATGCCCTTTTACTATGAAATAGTTTACTGACCTCATTTTATTTGAACATTGACAAATTCAGCTAAGAGATCCTCCCTTCCCTCCAGTGAGGTGGTAGTAGCAGATATGAGCACATTCTGGCAAAAAGCTTATTCAGACTTTTAAGTTTACAAGCAGTACCACCAGAACACCTTCTAACCTGAGGCTGCTCAGGCCTGCTATTTCCAGTCCTGTTTTCAAGCTAAGAGGAATTGCTATCCAGTGGTTTAGGGCTTTGTCCTGTGTAACTGAAGTCAGTAGGTGGTTTGTCTTCAGTTTTAGTGAGACAAGCTGATACCTTTACACTTCAACTCCATGAATTTCCCATCTAATGCTAACAAGTATTGCTCTGGCTTTAGGAAGGATGAATTTCTGTCTTCTCTCTATCCCACTGATGCTTACTGATAAGAAAAAAATGTTTGTGGTGGGGGGTGGTGTAGGAAAGAAGTACATGAGGAAGGTCTCTTGGCGAGACTAATCATTTTATTTTATTATGGCACACTATCCAGGTTCAATAATATTTTCCACTTTGGTAACATCTTCTATTCATGCAAACATTAAAGCTAATTTTTAGCCTTAGAACATTTGTTTCTATGACGTGCAGAAACTAAGGAGAAAGAGAAAATCAGACATTTGGCAAAGATCATTCTCAGTCTGTCTCTGCTTCCTCTCTTTCTTTTTGAAAGTATTCTTGATATGTAAAACAGACTTTATTCCCCATGTTGTATTAATTTTTTTTTTATGTACTGAAATTTCAGAATAGTCATTATGGAAACATTTTTGTTACAATTTACAGCTGAAACAGTAGGCTATAATTAACAAACTTTGAGGAATTATTATCCAGCTGTGTTTTGGTTCATTTACTGAAGAGAGGAGATTATGTTTATATACAGCAGCCTTTATATAATTAATGTTAATTTGCATGTTAGTAAAGATAACTACTAACAAATTATTGTAGTTTAGTTCTTGTTGATTTTGTCAGAGGAGTTGAATAACTTCTTGAATAACATTCTGCTGTAATCAGTGCAAATAATTTGTCCTTAATTTAAAAACTATTAACGACTATTTTACATGAGGATTTTTAATGAAGCCAAAACATAATGATAGACGCTTAAGTGGGCTTTAGCTGCAGTTTACTGCATTTTGTTTTATAGATTACTAGCATTCTGTAAAATAAAATATGACCTGCTATTGATGAGTCATCATGAAAATGACAGATGACTTCCTGTATGGAATGCAGTTCACAATAAAAATAGGCAGCAAGACCCGCACACTCTTCCTTAGTTCACAACTTCTAATCTCTCTCCTATTCTCTGTATTAAGCAATTAATACTAAGAGTAGAGACCAATCACTGACAGGCTCCATAAATCAGCTGAAGCAGTTTTGACTAATGGAAAACAGCTCAAAAAGTTTTATGCATTGTATGCATCTGCACCTCTGCTCTTTGCAGAGGAGCGTGTGCGCAAGTATGGAAGTAACAGGTAGCAAGGAAGGGACTGGCTCACTGATTCTGACCACAAATTTATAATGCCTATGCAGACTGCAGTCTTCAGATCAGGGGATCAATTCTCTTAAGAAATTATCTTTGTTCAGATAGATCATAATATTGATCCTTTTCATTACAACAAACATCCATCCTTTATTATTATTATAAATTGTTGTTACTGCCCACCTATACAGGTCACCAACAAACTGTTCAAAGAAAGAGATTCTTTGTCTAGACCATGTATGTTTCCACATGGAACAAGTAAAGATCACGGCAGACAGCAGGTGCAGAGTAAATTGTATGGCAGTAGAATTAGTGAATTACATGTCATTCCTTTACTGACTTTGACCCCTGCTGAGTGAACAAATGTAGGTTAATGTGTTGAGGTCTGTTGCCTTTTGGGCACCAGCAGAAAAGTTTGGTAAGTTCCATTTACTCAAGAATGTGCAGTTCTCTTAATGCCAGTTAAGGGAGGAAGCCACAGGCACTCACTCATAGAGGAGTGCTCTGCTGATCTAAGCATAGAAGCCTATTTTGTCTTACAGAATGTATACTGCTACTGTTGAGAAATAAGGGATCTAGATCCAATCTCAGAGCAGCTCATCAGCTTCAAAAAACATATACTAGGCATATCCATCTGAAAACCATTAAGGGACAGTAAACATTGGACTGCTGTAGGTAAAAATATACAGAGAATGAATCTTTATTTAAGTATAATGTTTTTACAAAACTTTTTAGAGGTTTCTTACAGCTCTTTGTATTCGATATACATCACATATGATGGTACAAGTCTACTTTGCTTTGTTGCAATATTTTACATACTTCAGTTGTCAGTATTAATTAACTTCAAGCCAACAAAAAATGCTTGAATTACCATCTTTTAAAAATATATTTGCAGGAAGATGACTCTGTACTTTCATTCACAGGAAGAAACCGAGTGTCCTTCATCTCTCTCTGTTATCAAAGAGAGGACAAGAGGTGAAAATCTAGAGGATGATTTCTTCCCAGCTGATGATCTGTCTTCTGATGAAGAATATTATATCGAAGAAAGCAAAGCAACCCATTTCAAGAAATCAGGCATGAGGCGCATAGACGATATCAAAAAGGCATTTTCAAGGGAAAATATCCAAAAGACAAGACAAAATTTTAGAAAGAAAGTAAATAGGCTTCGAACTAGAATAGTGACCCCTGAAAGGAGAGAGAGGATCAGGCAGTCAGGGGAGAGACTGAAGCAATCTGGGATAAGGTTCAAGAAAACCATTTCACAAGCTGCCCCAATGAAGGAGACATTCAAGATCCATAAAAAAAATAAAGAACGAGCAGTAGCTGAAGGTCAGGAGGGAATTCAGGAAGGCGATATGCGCATAGCTTCTGAAACTGCAGCAGCAGAGCCCTTCACTGAAGAGATCTCTTATACAGAAGTGACTACTAAGATAAAGAAGGACAAGAGCAGTGGAACAAAAGGTGTTTCAGAATCAGCTGAAAAAGTAGAGGGAATCCCAGAAATCAGCTTTAAGCAGGAAGGAAAAGAAGGAGGAGGAGGTGATAATGTCCCTCTATTAGACTTAAAACAATCAGCATAAGAAATCAATTAACATATGTACCATACTCTCTGTACTGAACAGGAGAGAACACTACAGATTCAGCTTTAGCAAAATGGGTGATGTTTTATTATACCAGAAAATATATGGGTGTTGTTCTGTCATTTACATTTGTGTCTGTAGTGTTCTCTTCCTAATGAAAAGACAAGAAATAATGCAAGTTTTAGAAAGGGGCTCCCACTTTCTTGATGTGTACCAATAGCTATCCTTATCCCCAAAGGAAGTTATGATTGTACATAAAAGAGAGATGGAAACCTGCTGTATTTTTAAGATTGATTTAGTATTCACTTGAAAACCTAATATTCTCTGTTTTATGTGCAACAGTATAAAAACATTTCCATTATCTTACTAAATTTTCTATACAGAAAACAATCAATAATCAAAGTATTACTTTGTATTAGCAGAAGGAAGAACTACAAAAGGTTCCTATTCTGCTATAAATATCTTTTCTTTCATGGGCTTTCACTGACACAGCAGTAGAAAGAAATTTCTGCTTTATCCAGAGTGTGACAAAATGAAGCAGAAATGATCCTATGATGGTTTTTTGGGGAAATATTTGTTTGTTTGTTTTCTCAGTGGAAAAGAGAAGTCTTTGAACGGAATAAAGATTGTTTCCAGAGCTCTGAAAGAGGAAGGAATGATGGAGTTTAGCAAGGCATTCTCTGCTCTTATGGAACAAGATTAAACAAGCAGAAGCCAAATTAAATATGGAATAGCAGCAGAAAAAGAGAATTAGTAATCATTATCAGGTTTTGGAAAGACCAGGACATGATCATATGAAAGACAGGGATATAAGTAAGTAGAAATGAGTAAGATGAAAATATAAGTTGTGGATGAGTAGAGAGAGGGAAATATAAGAATATTACAACTGAAGTTTGATTCATTTTCTTGAGATCTTTGTAAGAATTGATTTTTACTCCATAAAGAGGATAAAAATTCGTGAGTGTATATGGCAAGATGAAAATTGTTTTTTTTTTCCCATTCTCTGTTTTTTCTGAGATTCACTGCAATTAAAACCTATTGTACAAAGTTGGAAGTACAAAGCCAGTCCATAATCCAGGTCTTTATTTCATTATAATCATTATTGCCAACTAGCCAGAATAACAGGGATCATTAGACAGACATCCTTTGCAATATGGAATGTTGTTTATTTGCAATACTGAGGAGCCAGTGCCCTGAAATCAGATACGTTGTAAACAAAGCCACTATGCTGACATGAGAAGCAGGACTGCATTGCTTTCTTCATACTTAAATGAACTTGTCTTCAAAGCACTTATTTAAGACAAAGTTAGGCAGTACTATTTGTGAGAAACTTACACAATAATACCAAAATCTTGTATAATTGTATTTAATTGTATTTAATATCTCAGATTCATTTAACAGCAAAACATAACTGATTATCTATATAATGAATCCCAGATATAATCTATCTGTCTATCTATAATCTATAATATAAATATGATTAGTCTGATTTCACATATGTTTGCCTATTCTTTCATTTGGTCTGGTGCACCTGGTATCTGAGGTGGAAATAGAGTTAGCAACAGTAACGAAGAAAGACTGTTCTGGAATGGTTAATGTCAATGTCAATGATATACCCAATTAATTTAATGCTGACACATTGGAAGGAGCAACTCCACTAAATAGAAGGATAAGACAGAGAAAGGGAGGGAGGGAAGGAGAGGAAAACATTTGTTTCAACAGTAAATTGGACATATTTGCTTTATTGTAATTACAGGTAGAAAGAAAAAAAAAAGTTTTGTTTATGGGATAGACGGGAGGGATGCGATTACCACTTAACAGAAGACAGTTGCTGGAAGCCAGGTAACTTCATCTTCCTGTTGTTTACAGCACTGTAGTTACCTTAGATAAAACAGTGAAACATTTGTCTGTTTTTTATTTGTTTTTGGTTTTTTTTCAGTACAACCTGTATTTTATTCTGCAATATTTGAGGCTTTCCTGAATTAATAAACAAGAATTCACTACTGAAGTAAAAAAATCTGATAGATAATTACTTTCCTCTATGAATACATGTTAGAACCTTTTCAAATAATTTATTTTTTTGCATTTGAATACTGCAGGACACTAAGAGATACAATGTAATTGCCTGTAGTTTGCTTTTAATAGTATTTAATTTTCTCATTTTACTCAACAAAGAAGTGATGCAGTTTTCATGGAGTTTGTCAGATAGCACTACATGCAAGCTCAAATACGTATTTTTACATATAAAATATAATCAAATAAAAACACATATCAAATATGTATTTTTAATGATTCTATCTATTATCAATCAACCAGAGAATGACCTTTTGATTTTACCTTCTTCAATCAGAGAATGTCCTGTTTTCATAGCAAGTAGCAATTCTTCAGGTGTAGCGGAGTATTTCAACACTTCCCATTTAATAGCTCTTATCAATGTTACAGAGTCGAATCCTATATGTACTAAGAGATCAAATTTAACTCTATACATGCGAGGCAGGGAAAAAATATGTTGGGTTAAAACCTCATTTTCCATACAATGGCACAGCCTTTTTTTGCTTGAAGTCTCTCATCTTTTTCATACTTTCAAGAAGTAATGATCCTGAATCCAATCCTGCAACTTTCTCACAAACAAAATTCTCAATGAAATCAGTAGATGTTCAGCTGTGCTGCTCGGAGGTCTGGTGTATACTTTCTGAACAGGTGGTTTCTTGTGGTAAGATTATCTCTCCTGAGCTGTGTGTGAAGCAAGTTCTGATCTCAGTTCCATGTCAGAAAGCTGCCTATTCCGTCTTCCAAGAACAAATCTGCCACTTTATGCTGAGTGTGAATTTCAGACCTCCTCATGTATACTCCTGCAGTTGCTAACTGCAGAGTATAAGTAGTCATGGGGAAGCCAGTCTAAACAAACAAGAAAATTGTGTTCACAATGAGAAAAAAAGTGATTAACAAAGAAGTCACCGCATGTCGTTCTTTCACAACATCCAACTATATGTTCTGTTGCTTTGAACTAGATCCAGGGAAAAGCATTTTTTTCTGCCAATAGCTGTGTTGTAATCTATATTGTACCAATATTCTAATATTGGCAACATCCAAGAATAACTTCAACCACTTCCAGGTAAATTTATGTCTCCAAACTAGTGTTAAATACAGAATAAAAAGCACTTTGATGTTGTCAGAATCAGGCAATGAAAAAATGTCAATAGAATATCAATATCAATAGAATATCAATATATAGATATCAATAGAATATCAATATAGAATATCAACATAGAATATCAATATCAATAGAAGCAATCCAGTGTTCAGATGTGCTTCCCTTCTCTCCAGAGGAGAGCTTAAAATTTTTCTCATTAATAAGTGAATGCGGGCACGTCTTCTTTATGAAGGAATGAAGATTTAAAATGAGTTAATAAGTGCAAAGGCCACCATCTGTGAAAAGATAAATTTGCCTGTTTGTAATCTGCATGAACAAGCGACAATTTAATGCAGCAATAGTATTCATTTTTAAAATTACTCTGCAAATTTATAAATGTAAAATCAAAGGCAGTGTGAATTTAGGATACATGCTACCACCTCATGCCTCCCAGCAGGAACTCCAGCATGATGCTCACTTCTATATTGATCCCGACATATCTTTAAGCCAGTGGCAGGATATCAATGAAAGATCATAGAATCATAGAATCATTATTAGCATTGTATTATTAGTGTATTAAAAGACCAACAGGATCCTGGCCTGCATCAGGAGCAGTGTTACCAGCAAGTCGATGGAGGCGATCCTCCCACTCTACTCAGCACTGGTGAGGCCACACCTGGTGTACTGTGTGCAGTTCTGGGCTCCCCAGTACAAGAGGAAGGTGGAGCTTCTAGAACGGGTCCAGTGTAGAGCCACAAAGATGCGTAAGGGACTGGCGCATCTGTTGTATGAGGAAAGAGCATCTATCTTATGAGGAAAGACTAAGTGAGCTGGGCCTGATAGCCTAGAGAAGACTGACAGGAGATCTGATCAACATGTACAAGTACCTGAAGGGTGATTGTAGGGAGGATGGGGCCAAACTCTTCTCGGTGGTGGCCAGTGACAGGAAAAGGGGTAATGGGTGCAAGTTAAAACACAGGAAGTTCCATCTCCACGTGAGGAAGAACTTCCTTACTGTGAGGGTGATAGAGCCCTGGAACAGGCTGCCCAGAGAGGTTGTGGAGTCTCCTGTTTTGGAGAGAAAACTCACCTGGATGCGACTCTGTGCCATGCGCTCTAGATGTGCCTGCTTAAGCAGGGGTTGGACTAGCTGATCTCTAGAGGCCCCTTCCAACCTTAACCATTCTGTGATTCTGTGATTATGGTTGGCAAAGACCTTCAAGATCATCAAGCCCAACCATAAGGCCATCACCACTATGCCTGATATCATCTGGCAAATTTGCCAAGGGTGCACTCAATCCCCTCATCCACACCATTGATAAAGATATTAAAGACCAGCCCCAACACTTGTCCCTGAAGAACACCACTTGGGACTGGTCACCAGCTGGATTTAGCTCCATTCATGATCACTGTCTGGGACCGGCCATCCAGCCAGTTCTTCACCCAGCAAAGAGTCCACCCGTCTAAGCCATCAGCTGCCAGCTTCTCCAGGAGAATACGGTGTGAAATACAGATGTCAAGAAGCCTTGACAGAAAAGAGGGTAGGAGAAACCTATGAAGATGATAATAGATGGAAAAAAACAGAGGGGGAGAGACCTTTGTCTTGCTCTTTGCTTCCTTCTGCTTCTTCAGTTAGAGCTCTACATTTTTTCCACCTCTCCTTCTTTGCTGAATGGCACGATTGCAGCTATGAAGGCCAAGTTGCCTCCTGCATTTTTCCCTGTTAATATCTGCTCCAGTGGTAGGAGTGCTTCAAAACTGGCAGTTGTCTCATTGGGTGCTTATCCAAATCTATTCAAAATAAAATATTCACTTGTAGTGAGGATGGGAGGGAAAAAGACTGAAACACACAGCAACAGAGGCTTGCTGAACACTCCAGACTACTTCAATCTATGTTTGAAGGTATCTT